TGGCACAATGTGTGTATTTGCATAGTTTTAATAAGCTAATTGTTTTAGATTTGTATTTTATGGTAGGAAATGGTTTTAAAAACAGGCTATTGGGGGATGGGGATGTGGCTCAAGCTGTAGCAGCTCGCCTGGCATGCGTGCGGCCCGGGTTTGATCCTCAGCACCACATACAAACAAAGATGTTGTGTCTGCCGAAAACTAAAAAAAATAAATAAATATTTTTTAAAAATAGGCTATTATCTATGTATATCTTATGAATTCAGGACATACCATATATGTGTGTGTGTGTGTGTTTCTAGACTACACAGTTTTGTTGTTTTTAATTTAAGCCACAAATCTCAAAAAATAAACATAAAAAACCTGCATATAGGTGGACCCCACAGTTCAAATCTGTTTTGTTCAAGGGTCAAGTGCAATACCTAATATAGTATAAATGCTATGTAAATAATTGTTATACTGTATTGTTTAGGGTATAATGACAAGGAAAGAAAATTTGTACAAATGCAAGGTTATCATTGTTCTGGTTTTTGGTACTGGAGATTGAAGCCAGGATGTCTCTACCACTGAGTTACTTCTCTAGCCCCCCAACCCACTTTTAAAGACAATGTTTCCGTAAATTGCTTAAGGCTTTGCTAAATTACTGAGGCTGCCCTGGAACTTGAGATCCTCCTGCCTCAGCCTCTGAATCACTGGGATAACAGGTATGTGCCATCTTGCCTGCCCCGATGCAATTTTTTTCTGAACATTTTCTATCTAAAGTTGGTTGGAGGGCTGATTGTCCACATATTATCAATTACTTTTTCTTTTCTTTTGGGGGATTGAGCCCAGGGTGCTTTGGGTATGCTAGATGAACACTACCACTGAACCAAGTCTGTCAATTCTTACATCATGCAGTTTTTGTAAGTATAAAAAATTAGTGTGGGGGTTGGGGTTGTGGCCAGTAGTGGAGAGCTTGCCTACCATGTTTGTAACACTGGGTTCAATCCCCAGCACCACGTAAAAATAAATAAAATAAATGTATTGTGTCCATCTGCAACTAAAAATATTTTTTAAAAATAAGTGTAAAAATGTCTTCACTTACATAAAAGAATGGTTATATATAAACTTAAATGCCATTTATTGGTACTAAATTACCATAAAGATATGTTAAGCTTTATGTGTTTTTTTTTTTAAGAGAGAGAGAATTTTTTTAATATTTATTTTTTTGTTCTCGGCGGACACAACATCTTTGTTGGTATGTGGTGCTGAGGATCGAACCTGGGC